TTTTGGTTCATGAATGCTGTTCCTTTTGCACTGGAAAGAAAACACTGAAGTGACTGTCCAGAGAGAAACTGACCCTGCCTAAGTTACCACTACGTGTTTGTCCCCCAAAACAGAGACATTCCCAAAACAGGTGTGACGTTGGAAGCGGTTAACACCATCTACCAACATGCATGAGGCTCCTAACAGAAGCAGACCCCATAGGGGCTTTCCAAGTCCAGATAGCTCATGACCACAGCAATGGTGCCACTTTAAGGCAGGACCCTTGTGTGCTAGCTATAATGTTCTGAGTCTTTTATCTGAAAAGAACATCTGAAAAGAAACCAGAACTGGTTTTTCCCCGGAATCGAGGTCTGTTATGTTGACGTCACAGACAGCATCGTTTGTGAGACTTACCTAAGCGTTCCAGGTGGGAGGGCAGATGGTCGTGTGTCTGGCGGTGGCTTGGCTTTTAGAATCAATCGGACATTTAGTGGGAGCTGGCGGTCGCTAGCGGAGCCTCCCACCCAGTTGCTTTCTCTCTAACCTGTGAAATCCATGTAAATTGTAGGTATAAGTGGCCACTCCTAGATACAAAAGCATGGCTCAGAGAAAACAGGTTCCTGAAGGCCACACAACCTGGGAGATTATGCTTGGCTTCTTGGCTTTGGATAAAGCCGGACTTCTCCCAGGGACAGCCATTCTACCAACCTACTTGGATGTCATGGCCCCACTGCACCCTGCGGATACACATAATTGTATGGTTGTGAGTCTGAGTAGGAATGAGGTTGGGGTAGGGCTGGCCCAAGCCTCTAGGATCTTCAGCCTGGTGTTTGACCTGACAAATTCAGTACTACCTTGATGGGCCATGAACACCAGTAGCTATGCTATGGAGCATAAGCTCTAAGGGACAGAGGGACGGCGTTGGGAGACTCATCAGCCTGAGAGGGGGCAGTGTACCTCTGTGGTTTATTCTGAGGCTCTTATGGTAAATAATGTAGTATCTGCCCACCCTTGGATCCCAGTGAGTTCCCTCGTCCCAGGTTCCTGGGGAATTATTCAGCCTTGCTGTTTCATTACTGCTATGGACAGAGTAAGTGAAGAAGAAAAAAAACAAAAAACAAAAAACAACCCAAGCCCAGGGCCAGTGTTTGAAGTTAGAGGGAGCTTTGCCAGCTACGTACAGTCAGGTGCATTCCTGCATTACTAAGGGTGGAACCAGCGTTCTCAGAACCACTCTTGGACTGCTGGCCAGAGCTCTGTACAGTCAGCATGGGAGTCATGGGCCTTCCTATGGCCATAGGGGCCCGAAGTGACTTGTGTAGCCTCGGCCACTGACCCCATAGAGCTGTGCTCAGCCCCACCAAGGGTCTGGTCAACATCTCTGTTTCCCTTGGCTGACCATCTTAATCCTGTGTCACCTGGCCCTATACCTGTGACCTAGTTTAGAGGCATGAAGTTGTGCTGTTTAGAAAGCAGGGGGGCTCTTCTGCTGGTTTGTGGGCACCCCACCATTTTGCTTGTGGAAATGCCCCTCTTTGAGCCCAAGCAGGTGCAAGCTTTTCTGGTTTCAATGCTCCTGAGGTTCTCTTCCTAGTGAGGCCTTGGAGTCCAAGAGATGGGTCCAGCCCACGTTCCCCTGGTGAGGTTAGGACGTGGGATTGCCTGTCCAGGCTGCAGGATCTGTGAACAGCGGGCAGCTGTCCTGGGATCATTAAATTGGGTAATCTGTACACGGTGGGCCCAGAAGTAGAGGGGGCTTTACTTTTGGTCCAGGGCAAAAGAAGAGATGGGAGGGGTTTAGCTGTCAAGTGTCCAGGACAGTCCTTTCTCAAAAGATAGGGTTGGAGGCTTGGACTTAGCAGCCCCAGCCCTGGGCTCTCCCTTTCCCTCTTACCCATTGGCTTCTCTGGAGCATTCACAGCCCTGTGTGAATGAAGAACAGCATGAAGCTCTCATGGGCTCCCGGTTTCACCTGTGGGTGCTAGCAGCCTGTGGAGACGGAGGGATGCCAGCAGTCCCTAGTGGGCCTCAGGGCCCGGCACCTTAGTAAAGAATCCCGAGTCCCTCTAGGTCCTCGAGAGTTTAATGAAAAATCACTCTCTGGCGATAATGCTTATCTAAGCAGGATGAGGTGACAACCTTCACTGCTTTTGACTTGTCCATGAGAGAGTAGCTCTGGTCCTATGCTGACAAATCCTGGAGAAGGCCACAGTCCTAAGAGGATTCCCTGAGCTTTCTTACAACCCAGAGCTCCTGGAAGTGTGGATGCCTGAACCATGGTGGACTCGGGAGGGCAGGAGAGAAGCAGGCAATTCTGTCCAAGGCCAAAACACACAGATATGTAGGGATGAGGGGGAGCCTGGGAGTTCTCTGGTCAGGGCTGACTCTTTGTCTTGGTGTCCTGTTGTCTGTCCTGGCCTATCACCCGCTTCTTGGCTCATAGTGACAACTGAAGTTACTGACCTCTTGGTAATGCCCCAAAGTCCTGTTTGTACCTCATAAGCCCCAGATATCAAGTGTCATTCCCAGAGTAAGGCAGGTAATGAACACTTGTGGATGCCAGGCACTGCTTGGCCCAGCGATATATGCAAATTGAAGGACATCCTTGTCTGAAAGATCCCAAGTCTGCAGGGGCAGTACAGGCATTGGGAGGTGAGATGGAGGGACTCCCAATGCTAGTGCCGTCTGACAGTGCATGCTGGGATGGTCTATGGTGGGTGATCTATGGTGGTTGGAGGACATTCTGCCCACAGGGAATTGTGGGTACCACAGTAGGGTTGGAGTTAAGGGGGGATCTTAGCCAGGCACCAGTAAACCAAGCCCCATGAGCCCTTCCTCTATAGTCACAGAGGACTCTAGGGTAGAGGTTAGGTCTTCTGTGTGATTTGGCTGCCTAGGAGCCTTGGCAGGGAGTTGGTTTGGAATGTGGTTCCTGGCCGGCTGGAACTGGTTAAAGCCAGGCTTGGCTCTCTGTGTTGTCCTCTGTCTCTTGTGACCTGGAACTCCTGGCCTCTGGTGCCAAGGCCACAGTGAATAGAGCTTGGGTTGTCTTATCTAGAGGTGGCAGTGGGAGTAACCAAGGAAGGGAGGGCCATGCTACCTCTGACCTTTCTCTGTCCAAGCCACATGACCTGCCAAGCTGACACCTCGTGTTTTTATTTCCTTATGTCTTGCAGAACATGGCTGCTCCAGAGAGCCTCCCAGGAAAGGGAAAGCCAGTCACGTGTATCAGAAGACCCCGGAGGACCTCATACACAGGTAGCCGTCTGCCCCACTTGGGCAGAGATCTCACTCCATCACTCCATCAGAAATAGTCCTGGAGATGATTGTGTACAGGCAGACAGGAGACTCCAAGAGAAGCCAGGACCAGTCCTCCCCTCAGAGGCTTTACCTGGCGCCAGGCCTACCCAACCCCCATCCCCTCAGGGGCTCGCCCTGGCCTCCAACCAGCGGGAGAGATCCTTGCCCAGGACAGGACAGGAGACAGTGCCAAGGATTCCGGGTCCCTGCTTCAGCCCTGCCTTCTGCCCTGCAGGCTGTGATGGCCTGACTTGTCCTCTTGAAGCAGATGGAATCCGGCAGGGACAGATTGCCCGTGGTGGAGGGCAGAATTAGCCCAGTCCTGCAGTAGGCATACTGGACCCTCTCCTCCAGCATCCTTTCTACTTGCCATTTATCCAGATAGGTTCTGTTAACATCAGTGTACTGGTCCACAAAATGGGCAGAGATACTTGTTGGTGGAGATCAGGGGCTGAATAGCGACCCTTAAATACCTGTAGCTCAGGGGGGAAGACCCAGGGACTAGACAGTCTTTGGAAACTGTAGGTTCCCTGGCAGGGGCAGACTGTGATACACCGAAGCCAGATTGCAACCCCGATCCCAGCCTCCCCTCAGCCAGCCTCCACGGGCTCAGAATCAGCTCCCCACGACTCAGAGCCATCCAGTTGGCGTCTGTGCATGCTGGTGCTGCTCAGGACAGCCCTCTTGTTGAGGCATTGTATCTGCCCCTGTCCAGTGGGTGACGCTGTGCTGCCTTCTCTCTCCATATGACTGAGAGAGGACCTGTATCTAGGAGCCCAGACCTGTATGGCTCCATGGCTTCAAGTTAGTTTTGAGGAGGGTGTGCAAGAGGCCTCATCAATTGGGATGACCTAGCCACTTGAAGGTCTGGCCCTGCTATACATCACTTAGGTGGGGCAGGGCGCCCACTCTGCCCTTGGCACCCACCAGAGGTCCAGCGCCAGCAGTTTGGCCAGAACTCTGAGGTTCTCTGGCATTGCCATTACCTCCAGGGATGGCTCTGTGTGTGGCTCATCCATGCAGCCTCTCGGTCCTTCGTGACCAGGTCCTTGTAGGAGGGGTAGGCCCAGGACTTTATGAGATTTGAGCCCCAACATTTGGCCGTGGGGCCACATGGATAGTCTCTTGGCCATGAGCTACCCTGAGTTCCAGGTGTCTCCTAAGCTGTGCTAAGGCCTTTTGGGGACCCTTGCAGGTTGATGTTTGTAGGAAATGATATAAATACAAAAGGAGTGTTTATGGATGTACCCCAACACCTAACTGGTGTCTGTTTCCTTCTAGGCTTCAGCCTCTTCTGGACAACTCTCCCAGGTGACCTCTGAAGCTCAGGGACCATGTCCAGCCCAGGTCAGATCAACATTTTGGTTGTTTTTGGAACTCAGAGCCACCTCCCCAGCTCTCCTAGATACTGCTGTGGGTTCATGCAGCCACACAGACCTGGAGGTTTGCATATGCTGGACCTTGACGGGGCAGTCTCAACCCCTGCCAGCTTCTTTCTGGGACTCTAGATGTCTGGGCATATCCAGGTGTACCCAGGACCCTAGACTGGGCCATCTTTCTGTGCCAGCCATCAAGAGGGAGATGCTGGGAGCACAATGAGGTGACCTCAGGACAGGTACAATATCTACAGTATCACTCGGGACTCAGTGGTAAAGGTCCTGTTTCCTCTGCCTTGGACACCTTACGGTTAGCACTGGGAACCCTGGGTCTCTTGTGCTCAGAGGGACCTGGGAGCTGTGCTCACACTTGTCCCTGCCTGCAAGGAGCCAGATGCAAGTATAGCCTTGGGCCTACAGATGAATCTAGATCCAGGAAATTGGTGTGGCCGTGGTCAAGGGCAGTCTCATCACTCAGGCTGCAGGCAGGGTCTCACACTTTCTTGTATAAGCTAGAGAAACCCATATTTGGGCCTGGGACCCCTCTGCTATCTGTGCTTTGGTGTATATGGACTGCCACACACAACCCTAGTCTCTGTGTCTGCACCTGAGGTGAGGGATGTCAGCCAGTGCTTGAGAGTAGGGCAAATAGACAGCTGGTGGGGGAGGGGCATTTCAGAGTTCAGTAGATGGGGTAAGACAGAGTGGGAGGGCCCAGGCAGAGATGGAAGAGAGACTGAGCAGAACACCTGAACATACCTCAAGAATGCAGCTGACCCAGGTATCCCTAGGGACCTAGTAGCTCTTGGCCAAGGTGCTCTGATTCATAGATCCTGAGCTTTCTGGGGTACCCACCCTAAGACAGACCTGCCTGTGATACCTTTAATACACACAGCCCCCCCCCCACTGTCCCATGGGCACAGATGAACCTCTAGGGTCCAACTGCCTTTTACAAGGGCTCACGCTGGGAATGTGCCCCTGCGTCTCTGAGTCCCAAGAGCTAATGTGTATGGAAGACTGTGGGTGCAGGGCGTCAGGAGCAAAGGTGGGAGTCCCAGAGGGCTCCTGGGCCAAGACATATGAGGAAGGGTCTGGAACAGAAAAAATGGGCTGGGTTGGGGAGAGTGGCCAGTTCTGGTCCATGACGCAGTCCCGACTTAGCTCCATGCACACAAGATGCACTGGATGTATACAGTAGGTGCTTACTTAGTGCGGGTGTTAGTGACAGTTAGTTTCAGAGACATCCCCCCCCACACACACACAATACACAATATGGGGTTTACCGTTCCATTCTACTTTCTAGGGATCCCTCTACTTTCTAGGGATCCCTACGGGTAGAGAGGGTTAGCCCCATCTCCCCTGTGTCCTGGACACACTGGACCATGGGGTCTTTGAGACACCAGCTTAGACTGGGAAGCTATGGAAAAGTTGGGGCTCCAGGGTTTAGTTGGCAAGGTTGGAATTGCACCCCATGAAATCTGCCAGACTGGATTTGGGCCTGGGAGGTCTGAGCACAGGCAAGCCCCTGGCCTTGAGCTCCACCACTGCATGTTTAGCCAACCATGTTTCCTACCGTGCTTGTAGTGTTGGCCCCAGCAAGTAGCCAAGAAGCCTCAGCCGACCACCAACCCAGCAAGTGGTGGCCTCATGGCCTTGCTCAGTCTCTGGGGAAACTGAGTCAGTGGGCTGGACAACCAAAGGAGAAGCACACTGGAAGTTAGATATGGGACTTCCAGATTCCCAGGGTCTGACACTCCCAGTCAGGAGACCAGGTGCCCAGGTCCTCTGGAGGGCGAGGGAGGACACAGATTTATCTAATAGCCAGATAGTATTGTGTTTTTTAGGTAAGGTCTCTAGCCTAGGCTGACTTTGTACTCTGTATGTAATTGAAGGTGACCTTGAACTCTTGATCCTCCTGTCTTGGAGGCTTGCTAGGCAGTCACTCCACTCTCGGAGCTCCAGCTCCAGATCTCTTAAACATTTTTAAAAAGATTTTTCGCCTGGTGATGGCAGCACACACTTAAACCCAGCACTCAGGAGGCAGAGGCAGGTCGATCTCTGAGTTCGAGGCCAGACTGGTCTTCAGAGTGAGTTCCAGGACAGCCAGGGCTATGCAGAAAAACTCTGTCTCTAAAAAACAAAAACCAAGCAAACAAAAAAATTAAAAAAAAAAAACAATTAACGTGTGCCATTGTTAGCCTCCATATGTGTCTGTGTGCCACGTTTGTGCCAGGTGCCCCCAGAGCCCAGAAGAGGGCACTGGATCTCCCGGAACTGGAGTTGCCGATTGTTATAAACTACCACACGGTGTTTGGACTAGAACCAGGCTTCTCTGGACGAGCAAAAAGTGCTTTTAACTGCTGAGCCATTAAAGAATGTCCAGCCCCAGGACACTCTTTATTTAGTCTTACAAATACCTTGCATTGGTCGTTGGCTCCAGTGTAATTGATAACCCACAAAGTCCAAGCCTTGGTCCAGCACCAGCTCTGTCTTCATGTGGTATTCTAGCCTCCAGCTCCCGAGGACCCCCTGCCAGCCAGGCTGAGTGAGGATGGTTCTAGAGAGGCATCCCTGGGAGGCTGAAAGGCCCCGAGGAAGACACTGTTGGCCTTCCACGATAGGGAGCATCCTGGGACTCTCTCAGGCTCTGATCCCTCTGGACAGCTTTGTCACCTGTCACAGTGTACCCGAGTTCCCGTCCCTAACACATGGGAGGATGAAAACACGCATGCTGTCACGTGACCGGGGGTGGGGTGGAGGGCACAGTCACAGCCTTTCTGTGTTCCACCATTTAGCCAAGGATCCCATTGTCATAAGGACAAAGTGAACCCTGGTAGTAAGGAACTTAACAGTGCCTGGCACATTGAAGGTACCAAATGCTCTCATTGCTGAGCTGCACCGCAAAGGCCTAGTTACTTAGGAAGACTGAAAGTTTGAGGCCAGCCTGAGCTATTTAGAATGAATTCAAGGTGGACCTGGGAAACTCAAACAAGACCCTCAAAATAAAAATTTTGAAGGATAGGAGATGACACTCAGTGGTAGAGGGTAGAGTTCAGTCCCCAGTGTCACTACCACCCCGAAACTGTGTTCACACCCATGGGTCCTTAGTGTGTACCCAGAACTGGCTCATGAGGTTACAGCACTCTTGAGTGGCTGGGGACTTGAAGCCAGAACCATGCAGCTTCCCGCTGAGAAGCCCTTAGTGATTAAAAGAGGCCACTGTGCTGTTAACATTCTATAGCATTATCAGGGCTACTATGGCTGAACAGGTGATGTCTGGTGGCACCTGCCCCTGCCACGTCACGTGGCAGTGTTACCCTGTAAAGATGACATGGACTCCTCTCAATTCCACTCTCGTTTTTGTTTGTTTCTGTTCTGTCACAGGCCCTGCCCTGGATTCGTGTTGACTCGTCCCTGTCAGAGGCGTGAATCCTTGGCCGTGTGAGTTACATCTCTCCTATGACCCACCCACCCTGCAAGGTGGCTTCTATGACTGTAGCGTCCCTGCCCCCTGGGCCTCAGACTGGCTACCTGTGAAGTGGGATTGTACTCCACACAGATTTTTTGCTCTGCCCAGGTCCAAAGGAGGCAGCCTGAGGTGAGACCTGTAACCCCTAGAGCTGTTTCCTTTGCCCCGAGTGTGTAACTGGATTCTGAATACAGCAGAGGCTAGGATGGGGAGGGGGGGCACAAAGGAATTCTGCAAAACCTGTTCCAGCCCTCTGGAGTGCCCACTGCCCTCTGTCTAGAGAGGCTTGGAGACCAGCTGTGGTGAGGGGGCAGTGGGACCCCTAGCCAGGGGCCGGAAAGGGGAATTGAATAGATGACGGTCAGTTGTTTAAGAAGCAGCTGGAACGAGATGAAAAAGCTAAGGGCTGTTCTAGTTGGAGCTGTAGAAAGTGGGGAGAGCAGTAGCCGTATGCGCCTGAAGAAAGCCTTCCTGGCATCTGTCCTGTTGATGGCCGCTTTGGCAACTGATCCCTTGACCCGTTGGCCCCAGACAGGAAGGAACTATCTAGCCCACTCGTTCCTGGAGCATAGGATGGCACTTGAGCCCCTTGGCTTGGGGCCTCCCAACCGGGACAGATAAGGACACATCCTGTAGATTCTAGAGAGGAGCTCAGGCCCGGGAGGCCTCACCGTGGACCACCCAGAGCCCCTTGAGGGGAAGTGTGGGAGTCACTGGAAGCCTGGAGCCTGTTTGAAGCTTGGCTGGGAGGAGAGCCTGGAAGGGGACAGCTTGACCCATTTTCTCTGACCAGACCATCTCGGGCCTCAGCCTAGGGCATAGCCTTGTTCTGGTAGGTTGTTCTTTCTCCTCCCTGCCAGACATCTACTGGTCCCACCCTCTGGCTTTCACGGCCTTTGTCTTCCAAGGGTGCCACAAAATGGCCGACACAGCCCTCCGCCATTTTGTAGTTGAAACAAACGGTAGCCTTGGAGAGGAGGAGACCCCTGCTTCCCGCCTGCCCTGAGTGGCCTGGACAGAGCCCAGGACCAGCGCCCCCTCCCCCACTTGGCTTTGGCCATGGCCGCCCCAGGCTTGGCACAGCCAGCTGCTTGGCAAGGGTGCCTGGGAGTCCTGGCCCCTTATCCAGCTCCACTTCTGCCTTACTACCCACCAAGCAAACAGAGAAGGAGGCTATACATCAGAATCGGGAAAGCCAGCCACCAGCACTGTCCTTGGCCAAGGTGGGGCTGGCGTAGATGGTTCTAGAAATGATGTCTGTACTTTGGTACCAGGTTCCTGAGTGTGGCCATCAACAAGCATAGATTTGAGTTAGGTCTCCCTGAGAGAAAAGCCTCTGGCCTCCAAATGCCGTTCATACCTTTTACCTGACCAGGGACCTTGGGGATCCCTGGCTGAGCGTGATATAGAATGCCAGGGTTTCACAGCGGCCAATCTGTCTCCTGGCCTGGGTAACCTATGATGTCATCAAGTAGTCCTGGTGCTTGCTAGAGGAGGCCGCTTTGCTCCAAGAGCAAGGCCACCCACTGGGCCACTGAGGCTCTGAGGTACAGGAAACTTTTCCCTATCACACGGTTCCTCTGCTTCCCTAGAGATCAGAAGCAGAACCTCCCAGACTTATGCTGCCTTAATGACGCCATCCAGGCCCACAGCACCCCCAGTATCCCTGGGTCATACTGACAGTACTTTCCAACTTCCTGAGGTAGGACAAATGGGGCAGGCTCTGGGAGCCAGGAATGGTCAGACAGCCCTGCCACCCCTGTGATTGGGGGTCCTTAAAAGAAGCTAGGTGGCAGTTCCCTGTGAAGCAGGGAAGGGTGTGGGATAAAATCTTTGACTCTTCCTGGGTAGCATGGGGGTTGCTCCATGGCCTTGCCTGGCCCCGTGCCCTCTGCCAGGATAGCAGGAAGCCATGTGTAGACAGTAGGACCAAGCTGTCTCATCTAGGAAGCTAGCTGAATGCCAGCCCCAGGCTTCTTTCTTCCCACAGCTCCCAGGAAGAACATTTTGTCACCGTGAGGTGAGGCTTGCTCAGGCCATGTCCCCTTCCGGGGAGACCCTGCAGTCCAAAGCCCACCTGCCCGGACCAATGTTTTCCCATGTGCCAGGCTAGAATGGACCCTCCCGGGGTCCTGGAATATAGGCTTCCTAGAATGAGAAAAAATCTCCCCAGGAAGGGCCAGGTCCAGAGGGAGTCAAATAGCAGGCAGAGCATGTGCCCCACAGTGTGGCATCTGAAGTCCTTTCCCATGCACCTTCCTATGACCTGGACTGTGCATGGGTGGGGGAATATTTGCAGATTGAGTGGCCAAAGCTGGTAACCTGTAGCTAAATGTCCAGCCCCAGGCGGAGTGCAGGGTGCAGGAGGGCCCCGCGAGGGCCTTTCCAGTGTACCCCAGGCCTTCAGTGCTTTGTCCTAGGCATATGCCAGTGACTTCTCATGACTCCCACTGCTGTCCATACCAGACTGCTATCTCACTAGTCCTCCAGAGAAGGCACAGAGCCGACTGACTTTGTCTCGGACCCTATTTCTAGATGAAGAGAGCTAGGTTCAGATCTGGGCCTCCCCAGCCAGGCTCTAGACCCTGAATCTCCCTTTCTCTCTCATGAATTTTGCTATGGGTCACACACAGTGTTCATTACCTCTGTTCTAGAGGTGGGCATGCCACCAGGGTACCGCAGCTCTCGAGTCTGCTCAAAGCCCAGTGCAGGTCAAATCCACCTCGGGATCAGTGTGAGGTGTGTAGGGCTAGAGAGAGCCAGGTTCAAGGCACTTAGATGCTAGCTCCAAGTTTGACCTTGCATCCTTGTGGTACACTTTTGGAAAAGGATGTTCAAGCCTGTGAGGTACTTCCCCACAGGCCTGTCAGAGCAGTCCAGTCTGAAGCCAGGGCACTGAGCAAACCTGGGTCATCTTTGTTCAAATATGATCTTGTAATGTCTCGGGCAATCACATTAGTTGTTTTGCTAAAGTTTACACAAAGGCCTCACTTGTCTTAGTGACTGAGATTTTGGTCACCCCTAACATGCTTGTCTTAGCCAGTCCCAAGAGACTCCTCAGTAGGCATGGCCTGCCTCTGGGCACACTGACCCAGGCCTAGTCAGTAAGCATGCATCTTGCTAACTTTATGGGCCGTGTTCACAAGGAGACCCGCCTTCTGCCCAGCCGGATGCCACCCCTCCCATCGTTCCGACTTGCTGTTGGCACGGCCTACTGAGCAGAGACACTGGTGGCCTTATGGGAGAAACCTAATCAGGGAGGCCAGGAGAGGGAGGCTGTCATGGGGGGGGGTCTGGCTCTTGGTGGCCCCAAGCCAAGCCTGAGGTGACTTCAGGGTGACACCGTCTGTCTGCCTCTCTCCCTCCAGACATCCGCCCAGCCCTGAAAGGGCCACCTGCCTGCCTAGGCCTTTGGCGCACCTGTCCTGGCCAGCCTGGCTCCTCCCCCAGGCACCCTGCCCGTGGGCAGACACTGCAGGACTAGAGCAAGGCTGGGAGGTGGCAGCTGGCAGATGGCAGGGTGCCTGCTGACTGCTCACTCCCTGGCGACCTGTTCAGGATCGCCATTCATGTGCACTGCCCGCCCCGCCACTGGCCCTCATCCAGCCTCGCCCCACTGGGTCCCTTTGGTTTGTTTCAGGACCCCCTTCCCTGTTACCCGTTAAGAAAGGAGGCATTTATGTGAGTCCCACCCCCCAGGGCAGAGGTCAGTGGTCAAGCTAATCCTGGCACATCTAAACACTTCTCGAGTATGAACTGGGCCTTTTCCTCACTCGTTCACATTCAGCTCTGGAGACCAAGAAAGGGTGACCCTTCCGGAGTCTCGTGGAACCAGTGTACCCCCTGTAGGGCAGAACTGAGCAGTCCATGGTAGCCGGGCCTGCCACCAGAGCATGGAGAGATACCTGTGGGTCAGCCTCACCAGACTAGCGCCCTGGGCACAGTGAGGCCCCCTGGAGAGCAGAAACCTTGTGGAAAGGAACAGGAACAACAGGTCAGTAGTTCCCAGCAGAGAGACAGACCAGGGCAAAAGCCAGGAGGTGGGGAGGGCCTGGGAGATGGCCAAGGAGGGCAGAGGAGGCTAGCCCAGGGCATTTTGCTGCTTTGTGGACTGGGGCGGGGCTGACGGCACAGTGGAAAGAATCAGAGAAAGGGTGTCCAATGGATAGCTTGGCCGTCATGGTGGTAACAGGCAAGGCTGGTAGTCAGGGAAGGAGGGCCTTTCCCACCCTTGTGTCCTCACGACCCTCAATAGCCAATGGTCTCATCTTCCTTTCCTTGAGCTGTGCAGGAATAGCAAGGCTTGTAACAAACTGCTCTGGCTTGATGGACAGACAGAACTGAGCAGACCCCAGGCAGGGCTTGTCTCTGTTCCGCACCCAAGGCTCAGCCCCAGAGCCCTTCAGCTGGCCGGGCTGCTCCCTCACTACCACCATGTCCCTGGTTGGTCTTCCATCTTTCTGCTGGCCCTGCCATGATGCCTTCGCCAGAATGGGCCCAAAGGAAGTAGGGTAGTGACTTGATTCATGGAGGAAGCCTGTGGTCCCGTGAGACTCTGGGTCTCAGCTCTCGGAGGGAGGGAGAGTTCAGGTCCTACTCGCCCTATCTTGGGAAGCTGCGTCTTGCCGCCAACCTCTGAGGGAGGATTAACTCTTTCCAGGGTCCAGCTAACTACCACAGTGTACATGAGAGAGTATGAGCCTGTCCCCTTGCGGCTCTGCTTCTCTCAGACCCCACAGTTAGTGGCCACGTGGGTCACTGGCCACCCACATAGACATGCTTGACCACCATGGACGAAGTTTGAGTCATAGTCTCTGGCCAGCACGTCCAACACCAGGCTGGTTTGAGAGGCCATTCCATCCAGACCTTTGCCTGCTGCAGAGTGTCACCAGGCAGCAGAGAGACTGGATGAAAATGTCACTGTGTTGTGGGCTAGCAGGGTACAGTGAGGGGAGGCATCCGGGGCCTGGGCTGTCTCGTTTCGGAAGCTGACGATGGTTGCTTTTGTTTCTAAACCCAAACAGGTCAGGAAGTGGTGCCAAGCAGGAGCTTCTGCATGCTGCCGACTTCCCTGTGGTGAGTGGAGCCTCACTGTCCTTCCCCAGGAGAGTAGGGAGCCATGGGAGACCTCAGAGTGAGAAAGGCTAGGGTCAGAACCACATCCCTCCCTGCCACTGCCCCAGGACCTCAGCGTAGACATCCTTACCTGGAGGCCTGTGCCTCCCACCAGCAGACCACCCCCAGGGGATTCATCTCATCTACCCATGATGCACTGTGATAAGATGATCTTTGACCCCACATCGGACTACCAGGGCTGGATATGGTTTAACGGAGCTGCAGTTTCATTCATTACTGGCTTTGAGTGGAAGAGGTGCAGCCTCGCTACCCTGAGGCAACACTGTCTGTAGGCTCACGCCCTTCAGGTCACTCAGCCTCGAGAGCTCTCTGGGGACCTCAAAGGCAGCTCTCTTCTCTCTGTCCCCCATCACCATCACTCAGCCCTCCAGTGTGATCCTAATACCCCCACACCACCCAGCAGTGATGGAGGACCATCTGCAGTGACTGCCAGGAGAGTCGTGCCTGGTGTGAGAAAGAAGGCCAGATGAGGGAAACAGAATCACATCTGTTCCCAGCCTGGGCTAAGGCACAGGGGTGGTGGCCATGGTCAAGGAGGGACCAGGGTGCTTGTCTCCCGTTATTTCTCTCCTATAGCTTGAGTCCTGCATGTTGCAATGAAGCCCAAACTCGGGGAGGGTAGTCAGGGACAGGGGCAGGACAAGCACTTTTGGGGGCTATCACAGGTGGCACATATCAGTCTCCTGCTGATTGCTAACTACACTGGCCAAGGAGCTGCGAAGAATCCCCAACGGTCCCCAGTGAGAGGCAGCTCAGACCTACCAGGCAGTTCTGGTATCCTGCTGGCCAGGGGCAGAACCCAAAATGTTGAGAGGCCCGTGATGAGGTGTGCCTTCTCTCCTTCAAGGTGTTTCTGAAAGGCTCAGATGGTGTTGGCAAAAGTGTCTTCTGGTCATTCTACCACATCCAGGTGCATCCTGGGAACTGACAAGGTCAACCATGGCCAATCAGTGACACCTCCACCTTCCCACCTGGTCCACTCATCATAGATGGGAACACGGGGTGGGGGTGGGACTGAGCCACTCTCTTCCCATGCCTTCCTTCTCACTAGTTCTGCTTGGACCATCCTTGGGGATATTTGACCTGTCTCTTAGTAAAAGGGTACAGGCTTGAGGCAGGGGGATAGCACCCCTGAGGCTCACATAGATGTTCTTCTAGGACTGGACAGTGCCTGCACACCTAGGTCCAGGCCACACTAGCGTTTTGGGGCCGTGTTCCCAATCCACTCTGTCTCATAGACTCCAGATCTGGGTGCACAGTGTGGACTTAAGCCTAATGGCTCCAGGGTCTTTGGACTTGCTCCTGTGACCCTTGGCAGAGAGAGAGGGAGGTGTGGTATCAGGTGCTTGGCCTCCTGGTACTGGGCACAGAGCTTCCCTCTGCCTTGCTGGGCAAACCTGTCTGCTGAGAGCAGAGCCACCTGGGGGGCTAGAGCCGGTGTCTTCACAGTGACCCCACCTCACAGCTGGAGGAGTAGATGACTCCACCCAGCCTGGTGCCTGCCCTGGAAGACTATGGAAGGAGGCCTGCAGTAGAGTCTTTAAGACTCTGCTGGTACCCGGGAGCAGAGAACTACAGAAGCATCTTACAAGGTGGGAAGGATGCTCGAGCGCACTGCTGCTGCGTGGCTGGGCAGGCTGTAGGCCTTGCTTATAAGAAGGGCTTACAGTATACTTGCCCAAGGGTCCCCTGCAAGCTAGTGACTGTGAGCAGTGCAGACTCACAGTACAGACTGACTGTTGTCCCAGAGTGGGCCTCACCTGCCCCACTACACAGTGAGTGGCAAGACCCACACCAGCCCGCCTGTCCTTACCAGGTCTTCCTCCCTGCTGGGCTCTGTCCAACGCTCTGGGAGTCCCAAACTCAGAGCCAAATACAGAGCCCCCCGCTGGCTTCAGGAAGTGCCAGTCGCCAAGGACAGCCTGGCCATCCGTGTCCAGCCAGGGTCTGCACTTCCGCCCAGCTGGCCACCATGGGGAGCTAGGCTGCCTCCCACAAGGAAAAAAAAATGGTTTTGAGCCTCCCGTAGCAAGGTCAGCTCAGGCCACCCTGGGGGGAAGGCAGGGACAGAACCAGAGCCCTCAAGGAGGGGCTCTTCCTGTGAGAGGGGGGTGCATGCCCAAGGCCGCCGCCTCGCTGGAGTCCTGGTGCCTCCAGCGCTTCCTGTGCTCCACCACAGAGGCTGGGTCTCCGCCAGGTGGACGCTGGAAGCTCCCTGAACCTGGCTGGCCTTTGACAAGTGACACCCTTCCTCCACGGTGGTCATTCCTGCCTAGGAACTGGTCAGCTTTTGCTCTCTTCTCCCCGCCCCCACTTCCGTCATCCTCTCTGCTTGTGGTGATTTTGTTTAAGTGTCCTGGCCCACTGTGGGGGAATCCCAGTCCGCTGCCGGCTGATACCCTTTAGCACCGAGCTGGCCATGTTGGGCCCCTCACCATGTTCCCAGCTCTTCTTCTCTAGGAGGCATCTCCAGAAGCCGTAGCATCCAGCTCGACACCAAGACTGACGGACGGCCTTTGGGGTGAGGTAGTAGGTTGTATGGTTTTGGGCTCTGCCCCGCTCTGCGGTAACTATACAATCTACTGTCTTTCCTGAAGTGGCTGCAATAATCTACAGAGAACACAACGCCAGCCTGACTTGGGAGGCCGAGGGGGGCACGGGGGTGGTAGCTGCCATGTCTGACAGGGGCCTTGGACAGTCCCTTGACCTCTCTGGTCTGTTGCTTTTCTGTAAGGGTTGAGGCGTGGGGGTGTGCAGACGTGTGGCATTTCCAGGGCACCTCCTCTCCCTTGACCACACTGAAGCGGCTTTGCTTCTCCTGATCCCATCATATTAGGCTATCAGGCCTGGCCTCACAGGCCTCCCTGAAGAAAGGGTGTGGGCTGGACCTTCAACTGTGTCTCAGAGTTGCCACACACTCCAGACCTGGCATATGCCCAGGATTTCCAGCTTGAGGGCAGGCTTTTGTTGAATGGCAGCGTCTCCATCTACATAGAGACAAGGCAGCTTTTCCATGAAGGAAGAGAGAGGAGGGTTCTAGCCTGCCTGGGCACCCTGTGGGCAGAGCCTGCAGCTGGACTGTAGGCCACTGTCCCTGGGGCGGTGGGTTCAGACACTGGAGACGTCCCTGATCCATCTGGTGGGTACAGGCCTTTCTTGCTGAGCCACTGTCTCCGCTTCCCCCCCTGCCCTGTGCCAGCTGTGCCATATGGCTCTGGCGGCCTGTGGCCAGGGTGGGTGGGGAGCGGCTGGGCCTCCTCCAGAACATGGACCCCGCAGGGTGAGGTAGTAGGTTGTGTGGTTTCAGGGCAGTGATGTTGCCCCTTAGAAGATAACTATACAACCTACTGCCTTCCCTGAGGAGCCCAGGGTCACGTGCACATGGAGGCCCCTGCTCAGCAAGCCATGTGGAGAGCCTGTGCCACAGATTGGGTGGGGGCAGTGATGTGGGGCCTGGATAAAAATAAAGGCATTTTGACATGAATTTATAACTGGTCCTTGGTCATTCTGGAAATACAGGTGCTGGTGGTAGGGGATGTGAGAGTGTTGACCACAGCGTCGGCATGTCTGTATGGACAAAGGGTTGCAAGAGCTGCTCAGGGTAGTGACTGTTACCTGTCTCTCATGTGCCCCTCCATGACCCAAGCCCTGGAGAGGGCACTTGACCTTGACACCAGCAGAGCCGTAGACTTTGTGACTCCAAGTTAATACTCAGAGCACAGCCCAGGAGGGCTTCCAGTGTGCCTCAGCCCACAGTCCTGACCGGATCCAAGAAATTCCCATCCTTTCATGCTTCCCTCAGGACAATATTGGGTGGCCCTGAGTGTAACTGTCCATCCTTAGGCCTTAGACCTTTCTACCAGGGACCCTAAGCCTTCATTCAGGTAGTATTGGGGGAGGAGTCAGTCCTCAGCTGGGGTTAGCTTAGGAATGTAGAGTCCTGTTTCTTACCTGACCAAATGCCAAGGGCCCTCCCTTGTGGGTGTTGGCATGGCTCTGTCGAGACCTTGGCCTTCTCCCCATGGTAACTGCTCCTAGACCCAGCTTCATCCTGAGTCCTGACCCGCCTCAGCTCTGGGCACCCACATGCCTATATGGGCACACCTGGGCAGAACAATACCCTTAATACTTACCTGTGTCCATCTTCAGCTACCAGGGCTCTCAAACCAAGCCTGCCACTCCCAAAGATCTAATACTGTGCTAGGTCCAGTAGCCAGAGGACTCAAAGTAAGTACCCAGAAGAGTCTAAGCAACAGGGAGGACTTCTCAAAGTAGGGCTATCTGAGCTGGGTCTTGATGGCTATGTAGGAGCCGGCAGCTAGACACTCAGAGACGTAGATAGTCAGACCTCAGTGGAGTGAACTATTGTCTCTTCGCTGCTATCTTTTGGGGCCATGGTGGCTAATCAGCGGTCACTTTACCTCTGTTCATCCTGTAGTTGGTTAGTCCGTCATGTCTGTCAGCTCTTGTCCTCTGAATGTCATTTCTGTCCACCCACCCTTGCTAGGCCTCAGGACCTAGAGGGGAGTCCTTCCTGCCCTTCCCTGGGAGGAGCTCTGCTCACCACCTTCACTGTCCCTTGCCTGCCCCCCACGCTCTCCTGCTCAGCCCAGCCCCCCACCCCTTCATCCTCACACAGGCCCAGCCTCCAGCTCCCACACCTGGCTGTGCCTGTGTAAGCAGGTCACAGCCATCTCCTGACTCCTACACCCCAGTGAGAGATGTCCTGGGCCTGGCAGAGCTCAAGTATACACAATGAATAGACAAGAATACACAATGGCCACCTGGAGGCAGCCCTGGGGTCAGAGGGCATCTGAGAGCTCTGAGGAGCCCCGCAGTCAGCGTAGCTTCCTGGGAGATGCCACCTAACCTTCTGCAGAGTGGAAATTCCAGAGACCTACATATTCTCTTCCTCACTTCCACTTCCTATTGGGGGAGCAAACCAGTCCCACTTGAGAAGGTGGAGTCAGGATTCCAGGGCACCCCAGAATCCCTTTGCCTCAGGGAAAGTCCACAGGAAGGTCCTGGTCGCTGGCCGGACACTTGATGCCACCTGCTGGCCAATCTAAGAAGTGGCTCCTGGGCTGGTCCTTGTACCAGGATATGATGGGGGACCGATGGGCTGGGGTGCTGTTTAGGGGCCAACAGGATTGCGCAGGCTGCTGGTCCTAGGATACACCCATCCAGGCAGGCTGGGGCCATAATCAGCATGTACATAAGTGACCTTGAGGACAAGCTAGCTCAAGGCCAAGGAGGAGAGCAGTTTGGAACTCGGGTAACCTCAATGCAAGGAAGCCAGGTCCCACAGAACCTCTCGAAGCCCAGGCACCATGAGGAAGTGGAGCTGAGTCATGCAGGAGCAAGACTTGCATATCCTCGCTCCTCCTGGGATGATTCACCTCCCGGGGCGGGGGCTGGGGGGGGGGTCTTCTGGGTGTGACAGGTACAGCAGCGACAGAGGATCCAGCAGTGTTGGGGGGCTCAGGAGTCACAGAGCCACAGCCAGGGGCTTGCAACTGAGACCCACAAGGCTGCTAGTGCTCCCCAGTTTTACTTCCTTGGAAACTAAAAAAAAAAAAAAAACAATAATGAACAAAAAAATCAGATATATAATATACTGCATTTAGTGTAATGATCAGTGTTGATTCAGAAGATACTACATAGCAGGCGAATACGAGTTCTCATTTGTCGTTCTACAAAAGGAAGACGCACAACCCTGTGCAGTGTGACCCAGCATGAGTCCATCTGGGGTTATGTATATCTAACATACAGGAGTCTACACCACTCCTGTCGGGCATGTACATGGAAGGGGTTGTGCAGAAGGCTATAGGAAGACCTATAGACCCAAGGGTCTATTTCTGGGGCCCACCCTGGGAAGGGAGCCCTGTTTCTGTCTCTGCCATCTTAACCTATTCATCACATGAGCCACCCTTCTGACCAGCCAGTGAGAGGCGCTGGCCGTGCCGATCCGCCTCCTCCTCTCGGCGGTGTGCTTCCCAGCAGCGACATCGTGTGGCGTAAGGAGACTATGGCAACTGTGAACTGAGATCACCAAGCCCCGCCTACCTTCAGCTCCACTGAGGTGGTGATATGGGCGCGGGAGTGGGAGTACTGTTCTGGGCTATGCCAGCGTTAGGGTCAGAGATAATTCAGGGAAAGTCTGCACGGAGCTAGAGCTGTTTCGAATGCCCCTTAGTATGTTTTACCTGGTGCCTAGCTTGTTCTGCCTGTCTCCACCTGGTATGTCTTCGTATGATACGGCTACATAATAGACCACCTGGGAGTCCTGAGTCAGGGGAGAGCAGTGAACCCAGAGCACAGCTTGCTAGCACCCTGATCAGATCTCATTTGTCCCCTGTGAGTTGGGTAGCACTATTCAGATACCCTCAATGGGCATCATGAAGCCATCCTAGAACTAGGTCGATGTGAGGAGGAGATGCCTGAGCCTTTTGGAGACCTGGAGAAGATGAAGGTGACCTGGGCAAGGGAGTTGGCTGAGGGGAGGCGCTGCTTGGGAAGTGGCTGTTGGCTGTCGTGGCTGAGCCTCGGGTGTTTGCATATGCACATATGACTGTGACCCTCGGGCAGATGCATACTTGTCCTGTGGCATTCAGTGGGCATGTGTCTCTGGTGTCACCTGCTGGGATGGATTGCAGTACTGGAGAAACCCCTGTGTCAGCTGGGTGGATGTGGCTGGTCAGCACGCCACTGAGCCCAGGTCTTTCTCAGGAACGGGACAAGGTGGAAACAGCTAAAGTCGGACTCGGGACGACCGGAGAACTGAGATAAGCCAGGAAGCAAAATGTCTTTGGGTGTGGCCGGCTTATGGACCCAAACCTCAGTACAAAGGCAGGTGGGACTGATGGTTACTCCATGCTTCCTCCCCACTTGCTGCATCCGGATCCCCAAGTTCATTATGCACACCCTTGCCAGCTCCAGCCTCTTCCTGCCCAACCAGGATCCAGCCTAGAACCCCAACTGTGTGTGGTCCAAAGTGGAAAGCCGGGTTGCTCTATTCTGTAGGGGTGACTCCCTGGCAGTGGAAATGGGGGGTACAGGCTACCGAAGTAAATCTGGGTGTGCTGCTGACGCAGCTTCAGGATGTCTGACTCCGGTCTTCAGTGCAAACCCTGAAGCTGGCTTCATGGGCAAGGAAACTGAGGAACGGAGAGAGAGAGCCGCTTCTTCAAGGCTGCACAGGAGGCTAAGCAGAGTGGGTATAAGAGGTCATGTCTGTTTGCCACATCCATAGCTGTCCTGCCTTCCCAGCCGCTGGAGACTATGAAAGTGGCGGACAGGAAGAGGGACTATGGAATCTGCACAGGGCCCTTTCTGTTCTGCCCCGAGCTGCCCTCCTTGGCAAGAGGAAAGTGGCCAGTGCTCATCAGTCTGGCTTCCCAAGAAAGAAATGACTGCCCTGGCTTTGAACAGGGCTGAGGAGATGGTCTGCCTGGGAGGTTCTCACACCCCAGCGCTCTGGCCCTAGGCATCAGACATGCCTCTAGCCATGACCACATGGGTGATGATAAGCCATCAGCACTGTCTTCTTGTGGTCGGTCTCTGGAAATAAAGTATGTTCTGCCTTCCGCTTGTTGTCTCTCTTCCCCTCTTCCCCTCTCCTCTTCTCCTTCGCCTACCGGGCCTCACTCACCATCTACTCTTACCCTGGGCACCCTCTCTCTTGGTTCTGTCTTCTGCTCACTTCCTGGGTCAGCTTGGCCTGAGTTCAGGGTCACAGCAAGAACTGGGCCTTCTAAGGAGACACTGCTTCAGTCGGTGTTTGTTAAACCGCAATTGGCTGGCCTGCCGCTGAGCAGGGCTGTGGGGTATGAAGATGTGGAAGGTTGGGGAGGGGGAGACCGGGGAATGTGTGAGGCCCTGAAGCCTGAGAAGGGCCCTTGCAGGAAGAAGAAATGAGGTCATGTGGGTCTGAAGACAGGAACAGCCGCAGAGGCCCCAGGAAGAGGACAACAAGCAGAACTGGATGGAGGCCAGGGTGGTGTGCGGAGGAGGCCCCAAGGGAGGTGCCCAGTGGATGTGGAGGAACCTTGGAGGGGCCAGATGGCGTTGACAGAGCCCCTGTCCTGTGGACTGGATATGGGGTGCTGAGCAAGGGACAGGGAGTGACCAATTACAGGAACGAATAAGACCAATGCTGGGACTAAAGTGTTCCTGGTAGAGCCCAGAAGCCCTGAAGGCCCAGCCAGTGTCCGCTGACCTGGCAGGTAATGGGGGATCCTCCACATTCCTCTGGGGGAGCTGAGGTAAGCTGTGGACAACCCTGACAGATGCCCTGCCCTTGAAGCCCGTGTGCCTCAGCCATAGGAGGCCTACCAACAGCCCCTCAGACCCACAGGCCTTGCCCTGCAGTGCCCCGGCATCCACAGTAGGCTCCCAGGTGTGGCAGAAGTAGTAGCATCAGGATCCCACCCAGAATCCACCCTTTCCCTGCTGTTTCTACTCAGGAAAGAAGGCCTGCTTCTC